TGTGAAGTCGGCGAATGAAATCTGCTACTGCTTGGCCCTTCTCAGCTGGCTTTGGTTGGTAGGAGATGTCAAACTCACCCAACGCTATTGCCCATTTGATCATTCGCCCTGAAGTGTCAGGACTTTGGAGTATCTGTCGAAGAGGATAATTGGTAAGCACGATGATGGAGTGCGCTTGGAAGTAAGGGCGGAGTTTTCGAGCAGACATGACCAATGCCAGAGCCAATTTCTCAATGTTAGAGTACCGTGTCTCCGCATCTTGTAAGGCTTTGCTAGCGTAGTAGACAGGTCGCTCAATATTCCCATCCTTTCGAATGAGAACGGAACTTACGGCTGAAGCTGATACCGATAGGTAGATAATGAGAATGTCTCCTACCTCGGGCTTGGAGAGTAGAGGGGCTTTACTCATGTACTCCTTGAGGTTTTTGAATGCCTCGGCACATTCATCAGTCCATGTAATGTACTTCCTACTTCCCTTAAGTGCTTTAAAAAAAGGGAGCACATTTGTCTGTGGCCTTAGAAATGAACCTGGTTAAGGCTGCCACCTTGCCAGTAAGGCTCTGGATGTCCTTTGAAGTTACCGGTTCCTTCATGTCGAGGATTGCTTTGATCTTCTCGGGATTAGCTTCAATGCCTCGTTGGCTAATCATGAAACCTAAGAATTTGCCAGAGCCTACGCCGAAGGCACATTTGTTGGGGTTTAACCTCATTCGATACCTCTTCAAAATAGTGAAAGTTTCAGATAGGTTGGTGATGTGTTGGTCAGCATGTTTGCTCTTGACTAACATATCATCAACGTAAACTTCCATGCTCTTCCCAATCTGCTCGGCGAACATTGAGTTGACTAGTCTCTGATAAGTCGCTCCTGCATTCTTTAGGCCGAAAGGCATGACTTTATAGCAGTATAGTCCTCTGTCGGTAGTGAAGGCTGTGTGTTCTTGATCCGAAGGGTTCATGAGGATTTGGTTGTATCCTGAGTAAGCATCCATGAAGCTCAGGAGTTCACACCCGGCCGTAGAGTCTATAAGTCTGTCAATAAGAGGAAGAGGGAAGCTATCTTTCGGACACCCTTTGTTTAGGTCGGTGTAGTCAACACACATTCTCCCACAAGACCTTTTGAAGCAAAAGACTTTCTTTGGTCGGATTTTTCTTAACAAGGACCACATTTGCTACCCATGTCGGGTAATTGACTTCGCGGACAAAGCCTATGCCTTTGAGTTTTTCAACTTCTGCTTTCATTGCCTCGTATCGTTCAGCGTCATAAGATCTTCGCTTCTGTCTCACCGGCTTGATCTTGGGGTCAATACTCAAACGATGACAGATGACATCGGGAGAGATGCCTGGCATGTCCTCGTATGACCAGGCGAAGACTTCAGTGTTCTCTTTCAAAAAAGATATCAATGCTAACCGAAGGGGTGGTGACAATGTGGTGCCAATCTTCACCATGCGATCTGGATAATCTCTTGAGATAGGTACCTTCTCCAACTCTTCAGCAGGTTGGGCTTGCTGGGTGAAAGAGAGTCATCTCGAGGATCATCGGGTTGATTGTTGCTATCAGGAAGATCCAAGTTCGCTTCATCTAGGCTGGTCTTTGTGACTTGGTCATGTACAGACAGGGTTTCCTTGGGTCCGGGCAAGTGTTGTTGCTTAACTGAAGTGTTGTAACATGATCGTGCACTAAGCTGATCTCCTCTGATGTAGCCGTTGCCATGGGGGGTTGGAAATTTCATCAACAGCATATGCGTGGATACCATAGCCTTGAGATCATTGATGCCTGTGCGCCCAAAGATGACATTGTATGCCGTTGGGCAGTCAACCACTAGGAAGTTAGTGGTAATGGTAGCCGTGTAAGGGCCTGTACCAATAGTAAAGGGTAAATGTATGCTCCCTAAGGGTTGCACGATATCACCGGAGAAGCTTATCAGAGGAGAAATCGAGCGATCGAGCAAGTGTTCAGCTACACTGAGTGCCCTGAAAGCTTCGGCAAACATGATATTGACCGAAGCCCCTGTGTCTACGAGGATTCGTCGAACATCAAAGTTGGCTATGTGAGCCTCCACGATCAATGGGTCGTTATGAGGGTAGATGATGCCTCTTTCTTCCTCAGGGTAGAAACATATCGGATCCCAGTTAGGCTTTTGATACTTCCCTCCCCTGATGTCTTCCACGTGAAACACTTGGTGACCAGGCCTCAGAATTCGTTCACTGTTTTTTCATGGCCCTATTGGAAGATTCAGATATGGGTGTGCCGCCGCTTATGGAATATATGACATTCACCTGGCGTTGGTTACGGTTATCCCTTTGAGGGTGAAGGAAGGAATTGATCAATTTTTCCTTCTCGTGCCAAAGCTTCAATACGATCACGGAGGATGATACATTTCTCGCTATCATGGCCGTTATGCTCATGGTAGCAACAAAACATGCCCGCGTTATTCGGGGGCGTGTAATCTGGGTGCCTCGGCTTTGGCTTTGGTATCAGGTGAGCTATGCTGGGGTAAATGGCCGCGCATGTGGCATTCAAGGGCGTGTATGTCTCATACCTTGGGGTAGGGGGTATCTTGACGCGGGTTTGACCCACTGCATTGACTGCCTGGGGGCGAGCGTTATTGTGGCGATACCCTTGGTTATCGGGATAGTGTCCCTTACTCTTTTTACTGAAATGGAGAGTGGTGAGGATGGAAATCCTTCCTCTTGCCTTGAAATTGATATGTCTGTTGATTCGGCGAAGCATTATGCAAGGCATGGGGAGGTGCCACTGCTGTTTGGAAAGTCGAGGTCTTCTCATTTAGGTGAGTCTGGCTTCCACCTCCCACTTGTTGATAAAGGATGGTTGTAGGGGGTTTCTCCTGATATGTCTTTGCCTCGGCGGAGGCATGGTTATAAGCCTGCGCCATCACCTCAGAGTAAGTCTTCCAAGTATTGGCATTGATCATGTATTTAAAGAAACAATCACGTAGGCCTGCCGTGAAGGCTTTGAGGGCAGTCTTGTCGTCTGCCTCGGCACACCGGGAGTATTCATGGCTGAAGCGGCCAGCATACATACGTAATGACTCGTCTGGCTTCTGGCGGATAGTGTACAGGTCATCTGCAGAGTGCAAGCGATCGGTTTGGAAAATGTGTTGGGAAACAAATAGTTTCCTCAATTCCTCAAATGAGTCTACCGTCTCAGGTGTAAGACGACAATACCAATTTAGAGCTCCGCCAGAGAGGGTGGAGGGGAAGAGAAGACATCGCTCTTCGTCGGTGTGCATCCGGTATGCCATGGTGGACTCAAAGAGGTTAAGGTGCTCAATCGGGTCCTCTTTTCCAGTATAAAGTTGCAAGCCAAGCTTTTGCTTTGTCTTTGCTTGAAGGGGGGTGTTGAGGATCCTCCTTGTAAGAGGGCCAGGCCTGGGTTGGTTCCAGTCAGGTATTTCAGCCTGACGTTCAGCCTTCAACTTGTTTACTTCCTCAAGAAGTTGTAGGACAAGGGGGTCCTGAGCGGAGTTATGTGCCACTGGAGCTTTCTTTCGTAAATCTCCATCTCCTCTTGGAATTAGGAAGGTTTGATCAAGGGCATGTGATTTTTTCCCTGGACTCGTTGTACTGGCTTCCAGGGTATGTCTGTCGGAACACCTCTGAGTCCCCTGTACCCTCATGTCTCTCTAGGACTTGTTGCCCCTTCCCCAAATTGGTGGCCGGCTCGGGCCGTGGCAGGGGACCGAGTCTCTCAGAAATCCTTGGGTCATTGATCTTTGAGCTTATATGGATGGAATTCTCTCGACGTTGCTTCAGGAAATCCCGACAATCGCGAAAGACGGCTTTCGATCCTTCTGCCCCTTCAGCAAAGAGGTGTCTCCCTCCACTTCTCATGGTTCGGGTCGAAGCAACTGGGTTAAGAGAAGCCTCATGTTGATTATCAAGTCGAGGGGTAATCTGTTCCCTATCAGGGATATCTATGTCGAATGCATGTGACCCTCCATGTTGGAGGGCACCCAGTTGATGGTTGACTTCCACGGGGGCAACAAGCTCGCGTGTCTGAGCTTGCCTAGCTTCGTGGAGTGTCTCGAAGAGCTTCTCATATTGCTCCTGGAGGACCTCATTCCTCATTGCTATCTTGTTGTTCTGAGCTTCCAACTCATCGACTTTAGCTTGAAGAAGAACTCGTTTTCCTTCCTTCTTTCGTTGTTTCGCACTATGTGCAAGGGGGGTGTCATTCTGTGTGCTGTGGCTTCCTTCGCTTCCCATGTTGGAGAGGGATGCCTGATCAAAAGAAAGTGTACGAATGATAGAAACCAGCTTGACACAGCTGAAGAGAGTAGGAATAAGTGTCGTTTCCCACAGACGGCGCCAAATGTTGATGCACAAAATCAGCGAAGACTTTGGTACAACAGAAAGTGTCAGGTTTTGTGACCTTCGCTTGGTTGCTTCGGTCACTAGTGAGGATAAGTACGTAAATGAATAGAGACAGAGAAGCAAACACAGGATGTACGTGGTTCACCCAGATTGGCTACGTCCACGGAGTAGAGGAGTTCTTATTAGTAGTGAAGGGCTTACACAAGTACAAAGGATCAAGCTCTCAATTTAGTGAGTTCTTGTGAATGATTTAACACAAAATGGCATTAGGCAATATTGTGGGGGAATGACCCCTATTTATAGAAAAACTTGTAGCTTTGTCACATTGACATGTGTCATGTTATGATTGGTTCTTGATGTCGACACGTGCTGCGCTCTGATTGGCTTCTAATCTTGACACGTGTCGAGTAGTGATTGGCCTCCTGGTCGGAGGGGAACTCTTCTGGGTCCTTGACAGTATAGCGTTGGCCGGTGCTCGGTAGTTTCGGGATTGGTCAAGTATGGTACAAACTACAAAAAAGATTTTTAGCTGAAAGAGAAACTTTTGATCGTTTGAATTCAGATTCAATCAACTACTCATTTCTCTTCTAGTTCCCCTTTCTGCTTATATTAAAGCGAAGCGGATGTCGTTGATGTCAAACCATTTCCTGGATATTTTTGTGGTGTTAAAAACAACAAAGAAACACCAAGTTTTTGCTAAGCATACACAGATATCTCAAGCATCGGAGACCTCTGTAAGATCATCAGGGAGATGAAATATTTCACGTATCTCCTCAGGTGTTTTCCCTTCAATTATTCGTGCAAGAGCATGACTAGTAAGATCCACCAATGGTTTTAATTGGAGGCTGTCAGCAGCTGAAGTCAACTCACAGAGCAACTTGGTGTCCATTCGGATGTATTTTTCATCAAAAGCCTTGCATTCCTACATAAACGAGTGGTGCCGAGTCATATAAGCGTGCCGAGTTTACACCAGCATCAGAGTAAACATTTAATCCAGTGTGCAGGTGGAGATTAATGTCCTCAATAGCTCAAATTTATGCAAAACAGACAGAGGGCATAGACTCAGAAAGAAGGAAAACAGAATGACATTCCAAAAACATGTAGAACCTTGTTCGAGCGACCTGGTACTTGATGAAACCGGCAGTAATCAAGAATTAAGCTCAACATTGCAGTACTGACTCTTTCAGGAAGAGATATTGCATGGTTCTTGGAAGCTCCCATCCCTTTCTGTATATTTTCTTTGCATATCATAGGGCAATACATGGCAACCTCTTGTTCCACTTGTTGGATTGAACCGTCGGTAGTCTGAAGCCAGATATAAGACTTCATCATCTGAGAATGAGTTGGCACCGATGTGGCTTTAGAATTCCAACATTACAAAGTAAACGAAAAATATAAAACAGTTAAACAACCCACCCACCTTCACCCCCTCCAAATAAACAAAAACAAAAAGAGAGAGCAAATTAACACTCAACAAGTAGAGGCAGCTACAAGCATTCAAAAGAAACGAAAAACAGAAAACAATTGATTCGACTATGGCTTGAACAACAAAGAAAAGAAAACATAATGCATTTATCTATTAAACACTAGACAAAGACGACATAACATAGTGGAAAAAAAGGAAGAAGGGGCATAAAAAGAATCACGAAGAATGCGTACGGAAAAGTGATAATACCTCAGGTTTAATAACAGTCATGTCACCTTCTGACATTTGAACAATCCCAAGTTCTGAGGCTTAAAAACTGGAGTGCATCAGGCAAAAGAAAACAGCTTTATGCTTCTCATGCAACAACTTGCTGATACTCTGTTAAGTCAAACAAAATTATAATTAGCAGCCCTTCTATGCAAATCCTTACCCAAAATTAAAGTTTACACAAATTTAACATAAACCCAAGTTAGCCAGGGCAGTAAACCACCCTTTGCAATCCCCACTCCGTCGTCTAGATTAAATTAGAATATCGCTCTCAAAACATAAACCCAGCTCTTACTTGCCATGAACAATACAAGTTCCAATTTTTCTTAACAAATCTATACTTACATTTATATTTCTACTAAACTTAATTCCATTTATTCCCAAGTCCATGAAAAAGCATTCTGGTGATTATACTGCTCTAAATCAAGGGAGAAAAATTGCAATTCATTGGTATTTTAGTTGAATTTCTCGATTAAACTAACTGTTATTACCAATAAATGATTGTTTTTCCTAAAGATTTTAGTTCACCGAGCTCCGGATTAAAGGGTACTTAGGAATTTCATTTTTCTATTCAATCATTTCCATTTTTCCTGCACTTTCTGGGCACCAAACAGGCATACAGAAGAGAAACAAAACATGGTAAAGAAAAGAAAAAGGACAGACAATTAATTAACACGAAGGAGACATACGAAATGTACGGATTCCAGGTAGGGGGAGCTTTGAATTGCAGAGATTTGGCGGTTGTCGGCGAATCCCAAAAATGGATAAAATTGCGAATAAATTTTAGAAAAAAAAAAAAAAAGAGAAAAAAAGCAACTCTTGTGTGACTGAAATTGCGTCAAAAATCAAAAGGTCTGCAAATCACACGTCAGCGTTTCGTTAGGGTTTCCTGACCTCTTGTATTTATTTTGATTTGATTGATTAGTGTTGTTTGTTTGTACACTTCCTGGTGCGGGCCCACCTTAATAAACGGATCATATTGATCATCAATGTGAGCTGGTAATTAGCAGCCCTTGATTGAAAATGGTTCTTATCAATGAGGCCCGTACGCCCCTTACATAGTTGGACACCGAGAGCAACCCTCCCCAGACAATATATTATGCTATTCACCCATTTAACAGTAATTGTTCTTACTGAACAGTAATCATCTTTACCGTTACACTTCAATAACCCTGGTAATAGGTAATAAAATAATAATAATTTTTTTATTTATAAAATAATACTAAGATAATTAAAAAAGACAAAGCAAAAGCAGCATCTGACTTTCTCTCTCTCTCTATGTTGAAATGAAGACCACAAACACAAAGCTTATCCTCCTCCACCCCCAAGCAATCCACAAACGGCGGAAGCCACCGCCTGTGGCTCCTCTTCTTCTTCACCTTCTTCACCCTCACTCTCATCAGCACCACCATCCCCCAAACCCTCCCCACCTCCGTACTCCCCCTCCCGCTCGCAGTCCTAGATGCACTTCTTCACTACGCCATTTCATCATCAAACACCTCGTCAGCACCCCACATGCCCCCGTCGGAACTCACCTCCATATCCTCCGCCCTCACCCGCCTCTGCGCACCCAACTGCAATTTCCTCGTTTTCGGCCTCACCGATCCAGAACCTGACAGAAAAAAAGATTAAAAAAGGCGTCTGACATCAACTGACGTTAGAACCACCTTAGGCGCCTGGGCCGGCACGAATCCACGGGCCTGGCGCTCGGCCCTGCTAGGGCTCCCTCGCCAGCCAACGCTAAAATTCCTCTCTTTGGCAATCAGGCCCTGTGCTGAAGCCTGTCCATAGAGCAAAAGCTCCCGCTGGAGCTGCTCTGAATATTGAGTTAAACTTGTCGCAGTGAATATTGAATTAAATCTTTTAATCGTATCAATTCATCGCAGTGTTCGAAAAAACGGCCTAGGCGGATTGGAACCTTGTGCAAAACGGCTAGGCGGGCTAGGCGGCTGGGCGGTTTTTTTTTTTTTTTTTTTTTTTTTGAAATTAAAAAAAAAAACTTAGATTAAGCCTAATTCTAACATTTGACTCATTTAGCATTCAAACATTTGACTCGTTGTTAATTTTATCCTATGAAAACTTGTTCTGAAGTATACCATATTATTATGATTCGCAGATGTGAACTTGTTTTTGAGAACTGCTTTGTTCTAGAAGAAAATGTTCTCGGGCAGGAAGGAAAAAGTGTAGTGATGCTTTTATTACAACTTTGTTATTGGAAGGAAAGATCATTTGGATTGGTTGCATGTTAAAATTCGCAGCAAGAATTGATATGTTAGTTAACTTATAACCTGATTTCTCATCTGTCATATGGCTTCTGAGCTGCTGTTTAGTATTAGGGCGATCAAAATTTACCATTAGCGAAGACTTTCACCATGGGACTTATTCATGTATTGCTGGAACTGCTCAACCAGACTTGTTCTAGTAATATATGATGCCAACAGTTTTGTTGCGCCACTGGCCTCCCAGATTATCACCTAAAGAAAATAGACGACTTTATGAATTACTTCATTTATTGAAAGAAATATTTCTTTTGTACATTTTCTACCTATTTTGTAAGAGTCACTATGCACTTATTCATAGGATATACAAAAAAATTACCTAAATCCACCTAGGCCGCCTAGGCTCCCGCCTAGGCGCTAGCCCGCCGCCCGACTAGCGCCTAATTTTTTTTAGAACCTTGATTCATCGTACATTATGCACTTAAAAATTATTTTAAATATTTTATTTAAAATTAAACACAAATAGTACCAGATAAAAATTGACAGTATGATTTATGATGAACGAACAAGATTAAAGAATTTCCTGAATCCTCACAAAGAGGATTAGAAGAAAATCCTCATTCGTATGAGCCACCTAGTCTGGACTCTGAACAGAAAAAATTTTCCTTCATAGGACATATTCTCTTATAAGTCACATCACTAATACATCACGTAGTCAGTTGATAAGTGTTTAATCAGTCATTACTTTTATTATCCTTTTCTTCACTATTTTGTTGTTTCTTTTATATTTGAGTCGCTTTTTACAATTTGTAAGTCAATTGGAGTAAAGAGAGAAAAAGGAAGAATTTTCAAGAGATTTGAAGCAAGATTTGTCAAAGTGCTAGAATGTTGCTGGTGGAATGTCACGAAGATTAATTTGCCGAGACTAGATCAGGAAGAATTTGATGGCGTGCCATATGGATGGAATCTGGATCTAGTTTTTGGAGGCTTTTACCTTTTGTGATCCCGATGTATGAAACAAAAATGATTGTTGTTTTAGTAACTGCTGCTCAGTGTGAAGTTTCTTCGCGAACATTGGAGAATTAAATAAACTAATTCAAATTGTTAAATTGGGTTTAAGAGTTAATGCTGCTGAAGTTAAAGATTGGAAAATGCTCTTTGATGAACAGATAGGAATAACAATGCTGATGCGGAATTGAAGTAATCCTAATCATCGAACTCGTTGGGCCTCAACTAACTACCTTTTGGTGTGGGCTTTGGTCATGGATGAGTTCATGCTCATGTACTCTAATTTAAATTTGGCCCATTGGCTTTCTATATGCATATTAGGGTTTTTATTTTATTTTTTTATTACAAACGATATTACTCATAAAAAAAAAAGTGTTTATCCACCAGAGAGAATCAACCACCTGTTGTATAGAGTTTTTAATTAGCTAAAGGGTGCATACTTTACTTGCACACTGCAATATTTTACTTTATTTGCTAAGACTTTAACGATTGTTTGTTTCTAAGACTTGTGCTCAATATATTGAGTACCATGCGAATTGGTATCTGAATTATTACGCGAGTAGAAATTAAGTCCTTAACACTCATTTCTACTATAAGATTCAAAATTATTCTATTTATATTATTGAGGGGACTTTTAGGTTGAGTTGGACTTGAGTCTTGATGGAAACCCTTGTACTTTCCTTGGTTCGTTCCAACACGAAGTCCCAAAATACCAAAGAATTAGCGCGTCTTAGGAAATACTCTGCTTGTAATAGTGGCACAAAAATTGAATGATTAAGGCAAATTATGGCTTGCCTAAGAGAGACGTGGTGTGGAAGCTAAAAGCTTATCAGTTTAGCATGAGATCAAACTTGTGCATGGTTGCATGGTTTTGAAAGATGAATCATCTGGATTTCCTAAGGGTCTAAGGGTGTTTATACTGGCTAAGGAAGCTCAAATGAAACCTCAAATAACCCCTAAAACTCCAGGAAAGTGATTTCCTAAGGATTCAAGGCTTTCTGCACTTAGAGAAGAATTTCCATGCCTCGTGCAATTTAGTCTTGAATCCTCTCTACCTTGTCTCTCCTTTGCATTGAGTTCATCCTTCCCTTTTGTAGATGCAGGGTCTCTTTCTATCTTTCCTTAGGGAATTCCTTGACTTCCTTGTTTCCTCTCGTTTTGGCTTAGTCTTCCTTTTTCTTTCCTTTGGCACATCTATGACCTTCCTTTTTGGTGCAACATTGAGAACGTCATTGCTCCCCTGAAGATTGAGTCGCGCACTCTGCCCATAGAGCCATCTTCCCTGGTCAATTATCCACGGACGTTACTTTTAACAACGCTCTTCCTTGTTTTCCTTCCTCATTTTTCTGTGTGAGCTAGGAAGAGAAAGATCCATTCTCTCCTCATTAAGGAATGCTTTGCACTAGGTTTTCACATGATCCTGAAGCTTTGGGTTCTTGTTTCTTCCTAAGTGGGTTGGTTTGCTTGTTAAGGGAAAGGGAAACTTGGTTTGTTCTCTCCTAGACCTACCTATGTGGAACTCAAGAATCATGAGCTTGGACTTTTGGTGCTCCAAGAAGCTCAAAGTCTTCCACAATTTTGGTTTCATATAGGTTCGATAATCTTTTGTAACCATCCACACCACAATCCACTTGTCAAGCCCCAATATGTGGCTTGGGCTCATTTTATCGTGTAGCATGGTTAGCTTGACTTGTCTACAATGACCACATCATACTTATGCATGGATTTTCATGGGCTTGTTGTGATCATGCAAACGTCCCGCTCACAGATTATTATTTTATTGGCGTGATGTGATTGTAAATACGCTTCCTTCTTGATTTCGCACCTTTGCATGTGTTTAAGCTTGGATTGGGGCATTTTTATGACAATCGGGCTTTGAGATGTGATTGAGCTTGTATGTGAGATTTTTGGGCCCTAACACATATTTTGTCACTTTAAGTCACATGACTTACATGTGAGACACTTCATGTGTTGGTCGGCTGAGCACCTGAGCTTTGTTAGGCTAATGTATCAAGAAAACATGCACCACATAGAGCAATTGATGGAACAGATTCATTGTAATCGTGACATTTTAGACAAAATATTATTGTTATTGTAGCGTCCTGTATTAATAATATAAGGTCATGTATATATAAACTTCAATATATCATTATCTTATTAAATAGAGACATAACGGTGATAATAAACCTGTTTCATATAAATCTTCCGCAACATGACATCCGATGGCTGCCACGTGGACTGTAGGGTTCATGTACGGTCGATGAAAAGTGCGTGGTGGTTGAACTTGAAAACGTGAAGTGTCAGCATGATTGAGATGGTGCCCACGGAGGCATGTGAGTAGGTCACAGGGAGGATCACAGCAATGGTATGAGTTGGATTGAATGAATGACCGGCCAATCCTTTGAGACAAAGGATTTTTAGAGGAGTTTCAAACAAAAGCGTTCGTGGTCTCTCCCTCGGTCCTACTCATTTGTGTGTTTTTAGCAATGATTCATTCCTACTATCTTTTTTTTCTTTTTTTTATATAAATAGGGCATGGATAATGTTGATATATATATAAAGATAGATAATAATTCTATTAATCAATGGTTTAATCAATTATATTCGTATTAGTAATATATTGGGATACCAAAGTGTTTGGCCTTAGCTCAAATGGAGAGAGAATGTATGACACTAAATTAGAATTACGGTATGTGTTAAAAATTAGATTATGGTATGATCAAGTTTCTTTTTCCTTCAATATACACAATTTGAATAAGTCCACGCACCTCATGTATTAAGTTTTTTTATATTCAGCAACTATTGTTAAAAAATAATTGCATAAATCCAAACATTTATTTATCCAGCCTTGAGGTAGATCGACTGCTACTCCTCTGATAGGAAATAATGATACATCATTCTCATACCGATGACAATTTCGAATAGATAAATACTAATTCTCCTTCTCTCAATATATAGAAAAAAGGAAGTTTGTGTACCAATATCCGCCATAAAGGGATCAAGTCATAACATAGGAGAAGCTATTATCTTCAATATAAAGAAAAAGTCAAATAAGTCCATGCATGGTGCATGATTTAATAAAAATTGTAAAAATTAGGACCGGCACAAGATTTAGAATCATTGCAAGAGAACTTGTATATGCTTAAAAATAATTAAGCTACTTCTTATATTGCCAATTGATTTTATAATATAATCCCAACGTTCTTCACTTCGTCTTTGAGTAATTCAAACTTCATTAGTACATAATTTATTTGTTTTATAGTGTAGCGACTTTTGCACAATGCATGCGCCTTTTATTTTTCTAGCATTAAGGCACATACCATCATTATCACATACTTGTTGAACTTTTGTTGTCATTTTATTTTTATTTAGTGGAGAATTTTCACACAATGACCAAAGTAATTGATGGTGGACAAACTCAGAAGCTAATTTTATCAATTTTAAATCTTAGAAATCAAAATGAAGAGTTATTTAAATCTCAAAAATTATTTTGATTAAAAAACTATCAAAATATAAAAATGTAGCCGTTGCGTTCCATTCTATTGCAAAATGCTCTACTTTTCTTTACTAGAAGTAGAAGACCCTCACCTGTCGTTTGATGCTTTATAGGCTGCCATGATGCCATCCCTTTCTCAACGGTCCTCAAAACGGAGGTGAATAGTCTGCCTTCCATTTCCATGCTTTACTCATACACTCTTGTGATGTATGGTCACAGTTAAATCACGTCAATATTTTATATTAATTTTTTATAAAAATAATTAAAAAAAAATAATAAAAATATAAAATGTTAACATGATTTAACCGTAACCATATATACAAAAAATAACAAAGAAAATATGAAAATAGGATGACAGATAATCCACCTCACCTCGAAACACCCAAATTTCCTCAAACCTCTACAAAATTCATAACTTTACTTTTTCTTTCTGTGGGCCGTGTTCTAATTCACAACTAAAATTTAGCAAATGGGACGGTTTTATACCGTTAAATTATCTCATTGCCCAAAGTTGCCTTTTGCTTTATAAATCTAATGCCTCGGTAATAGGGTCTTCTTTTTTTTTTCCTCTTTTTAAACTTATCGTTATCATCCAACACATATTTTTTTATAGTTTAAATGGGTGCTATTAGTTTATCTTCACTGGCCTGGATAACAAGATAGTCCGATCTTTTATTTATTAAATTGGCATGTTAAGAAAGATAGTAGTTTCTTGATTCAATCATGACCGTCGATTTTTCATACTACTAAGTACTGCTAAAGAAAAATTGTTATATTATAGCAAAATTATGTATCGTTAATTCACATGATGAGAAATGCAAATACATGTATAAAGTATCTTCGATATGAACACACAAAATTTTAATATTAGAACATCATTCACGAGAATCAAACTTAAAATTAATGAAACATAATAGATCACATTTATAAACCATATGATGTGTCACCAATATAAAATAAAGGGTAATGCTATGGAGACCAAAATTTTCAAACCAAATTTGCAAACCAAATGATGTGATTGCTGATGATTGAATTATTACTTAAACGTTGGTTAACGTACTTATTTTCTATTGGTGACAAGACATTTGGTTTGTAAATTTAATTTAAAATTTTGATATCTCTAACATTATCCAATATTATTCTAGACTAAAATAATAATTCAATTATCAATAACTAAATTATATAATTTATAAAAAACGGTTTAAGTAGACGGTATCCTTAAATAACTAAAATGAAACTTAGCTTTAAAAGATTGGAAAAGTGGATTAAAAGGCAAGGAATAAATAAAAGCGAAGAAGAAAAGAAAAGGTGGAGGGAAATAAGATTAAATTGTCCAACGGGTCTCTGGAAAGACAAAGACAACCCACCATTCATGACATGGATTGGTGACAGCGACGTTGTCCTCATCTTTCCTGCACTCTCCAGAAACATCTCTTGATTAATCCACATAAAACATCCATTACCACTAATTTACTAGAAAAAGGCATAAAGGTTAAGGTTAAGCACACACCTTTTGAGAATAGTTCCAAATAATTCACCTACCAAAACTTGAAAAGGATGTAACTCATGTATATTTTGTTTTTCTGCTAGGATGTTTGATTTTATTTTCAACACAAGAAATACAAAAGAAAATCTGTCCGATATACTGAGACTGATTTTTCTTTCGAATGCTGTCGTCTTGTTTGATTTGAATATTCTCTTTTTTATCTTACAATGTAGTAGAAGGATTATTTATTTAATAGATTATATTGAAAAAATTAATTAGGTATGAAATTATTTAGTCATTTTAAAATTATTTAATAAATAGACGAATTATATCTTTTAATTAAATAATTCCTTTTTACAATAATGATCAAACGGTTAAATAATTTCTAGTTTGGTTAAGTTTAACTGGTTCGAAGTTTTCAATCATCAAGAATAATTGAAGAGTGAAATGAGAGTAGAGAAAGGTAAACCGCAAAGATTCTAGCGAGATCCTTTTTTTTTTTTTTTTAATATATATTTTAGGGGGATAAAGAATAAAGGGAATAAAATGCCTTTTCATCATTTCATTTGTTTAGCATACTTTAACATACTTTAACAGCTCAGGCAGACAAACAATTTTCCTTTATAAATCTCACTCCATTTCTCACTCGATCATCCAAAAACCAAACCCTTGCATTCTTTCAAGAGAGAGAAACCACACAACCCCCCAAACCAGAGAGTTCTAGAGAGAGAAACACAAGCCCATGGAGGGTAAAGAAGAAGATGTGAAGCTGGGAGCCAACAAATTCCCAGAGAGGCAGCCCATAGGGACCTCAGCACAGACAGACAAGGACTACAAGGAGCCACCGCCGGCGCCGCTGTTCGAGCCCGGCGAGCTCAAGTCCTGGTCTTTCTGGAGGGCTGGGATTGCTGAGTTCATGGCCACCTTCCTCTTCCTCTACATCACTGTCCTCACTGTCATGGGGGTTTCCAGGGCACCCAACAAGTGTGCCTCTGTGGGTGTTCAGGGCATTGCCTGGGCCTTTGGTGGTACCATCTTTGCCCTTGTTTATTGTACTGCTGGTGTCTCAGGTATACTTCTCCCTCTCTCTCTCTCTCTCTCCTGTTTTTTCTTTTGTTTCTTTGGCTTGATCTGTTGCTTGCTATGCTTCCTTTTATTTTGGTGTTTTTTTGTAAGTTTTTGGTTAAGTAAGTGCAGATATGTACAAGAATATTTGGGTTTTGAGTTGTTTCTTAAGTTGATGTTTGGTTCCCAGGAAAATGAGGGAAAGAAAAGTAATAGTGGAGAAAGAAAGTTTCTTTTTCTTTTACTTTAGCATTCTGAGAGAACCAACTGGAGGATTGGAGGACTTTACTGTTTTACTTGGGTGTGTGAAAATTGATGAAAAATAAATAAACCACTTACCAAAAAGAGAAGAAAAAAGTGAGAACTTTAGATTATTGGGATTAACTGTAAGGGTTATTTTTCTTAAACTCTTGTATAGTTAGCAATTTTTACTGCTGAAAATCAGAGTAGTAGAGTAAAAAAATTTGGATTTGTTAAAGATATCAACTTTGTTACTGATCTTCTTGTTGGATTTACTGGTCTTTATAACTTTACCTCACAAATCCAAATTTCTGGAAAAATGAAAATCTGCATCTTTATTTTGCAGTAAAAATTTGAGAGTGTATAAATTAAGCCAAAAATGAATTCAAATCATATGTTCCTCACCAATTTTCATATTTCGTCGTAACAGTATATTAACCTTTGATATATTGATAATTTGGACAGGTGGTCACATAAATCCAGCTGTGACATTTGGTCTCTTCCTAGCAAGGAAGCTCTCCCTGACCAGATCCGTGTTCTACATCATCATGCAAAGCCTTGGGGCAATGGCTGGTGCCGGGGTGGTGAAGGGGTTCCAACCGAAGCAGTATGAGTTGCTCGGCGGTGGAGCTAATGCGGTGAACCATGGCTATACCAAGGGTGACGGCCTAGGCGCTGAGATTGTTGGCACTTTTGTTCTTGTGTACACTGTTTTCTCTGCCACTGATGCCAAGAGAAATGCCAGAGACTCTCATGTCCCTGTAAGTATATCTCACCTTTGATGATTGAGTACTTGTTTACACACTGCGCTCATAACTATTTTCTGTAAATGTTGTAACTATGCATCTGTCTACTTGTATCATTGTAATGCCTTGGTTACTAAGGCATAGATTTCATTGAGTTTTGAGTATATTGTGATTGACTGTTTAGCTAACCGCCGCTCAATCGTTGTTGCTATTTGCAATATCTTTGGTTAAAAGTTAATGTTTTATGGCTCTGGTACATGATTACAAACTTTTTCTTTGTGCCAAAATTACCATGCCGATTAGTCAATCTTCTCTGTGATTTAGAACACTTTATCTACAATAAGCATCACACGAAACTCTTTCATGTAGTAGCAACTGGTATCCCTATTGCAGCTATGTCGATAAACATGTTCTTATATACGAATGGAAATGCAGATCTTGGCTCCACTCCCCATTGGGTTTGCTGTATTTTTGGTGCATTTGGCAACCATCCCCATCACCGGAACTGGCATCAACCCTGCTAGGAGTCTGGGAGCTGCCATCATCTACAACAAGGGCCATGCATGGGATGATCATGTGAGTAAAACTAAATTGTTTACATCATGAAGTTGCATCGATCTAAATGCACGGGAGAGGATACATGTCTTACATCTTCAATGATTTTGTTGTGTTTGCAGTGGATCTTCTGGGTCGGACCATTCATCGGAGCTGCACTTGCTGCACTCTACCATCAGATAGTCATCAGAGCCATCCCATTCAAGACCAGGGATTGACATGGTAATCCCCGTCGGGCCTTGTTCTCCCCGTCGGGCCTTGTTCTCCCCGTCGGGCCTTGTTCTGTCTAAATGCTGCGATTGTGTTTATTTCGTTCGTTGTGTTTTAATGTCGAGAGTGGAGTATTTGGGGTGCTAATGTGCATATTAGTTATTTATCCTGTTACATTAATGGAAAACTTTATTTAATTTATTTATACTTTGTTATTATGTTAATCCTTACTTTTGCATTGGAAGGCTTTAGGCATTTGTTACCAAGTAATTTGGGACTCGAAAGCTTTATTTAATTCATGACTTGCGTAGCCACATTTATAACAAGAGACAATGCGTCTCCTCTGTCTCGTTTGGAAATGGATCTTCATCAAATCTCTACTTAATCTTTTTCATCAAATAATCTGGATTTTTGGTTACAAATAGGGGTTTATTTTAAAAGTTATAATAACTTTAACCGTTTGATCAAATGAATTATTTGATCCATAAATAATTCATTTCCGTCTCATTTCTAATTTGTTGACACATGGTCCGTAATTGGTAATTTTAACACTGTTACTTTACATAGAATTTGATTGGAAAAAAAAACCTGAAAAATTAATGGTACGTAGACGGAACGGGATGAAACGAAACGAAGGTGTAATTTTTGAAAAAGACATGGGGTATATTTGTCTTAAAATGGTAAAACATTGTGTTCCACAGACGTGGAACAAACCCGTTCCAGGGGGGAGGTGTGACGCAAAAACACCCAAAATCTGTCTTGTGGAACAGCCCGTTCCACCCATTTTTGACGCACCAAACGCGGGACGGAACGCCTCGTCCCGTTCCGTCCCGTCCCGTCCCACGTACCAAACGCACCCTAAAGGCACCACAGCTGATGAAACCCTTCAGCATCCTTCCCCACGGGATGGATCAATTAGATTAGATATTTTCAATCTATCACCGCAGCAACCAACCCCAACCCTTCAACATCCTCCCCCAATCGATCGATATGATATTCTCAAATTTCAAACTTCACACACTGTTTGCCAGCTGTGACTAGATGGATTGATCACATACCGATCGATTAGATATTCCAAATTTCAAACTTCAAACTTCACATGTATTGACGAGAGTAATTTGAAAAGAGAGAAAGGAAAGGAAAGAAAGCTTCGCCGCTGTGAGGAGCATCGTCGGCAGCGATGGGGTGGTGTCACTGGTGTGGTTGCAGTGGTCGGCGGCGATAGGTTGTGTGGTTGCAGTGGCCATCGGCGGTGTGATTCTGTAGTTGCAATGGATAGTTATTGAGTGGGTTTTTGTTTTCTTTAATTTTTAATTTTTCAATTATTTTATAAAAAATTACAGTGTTAACTTTGGTGTTAAATTAATAGACAAATGTTAAAAAATTAAGAAAGAGACACAAAGGAGACATTATAAATTCAGAAAACAGATCCCCGGCCCTTGAAAGCTTTATTTAATTAATGACCTGGTTAACCACATTTAAATTGTTTATAACAAAATCATGCTCAAACCGAGTTAATAACAAGAGAAAATGTTATTGATTCTCTAAAAAAGTTGTTACTTAATTTCCTCATTATTTTCACAAGGGTTAGATGGTTAGACATTAGGGTTTGATGATTCGTTTTGTTTGAGAGGAATGAAGAAAAGAAGAAAAAAAATTATATGTTAAGTAAATAGGTCGAAAAAATTGTTAACGACCGTATTTTTACTTTAAAATCTATTTTGGTCATCAGTAGTTTCTAAATTCTCTTCCATATGTTTTGTTTGTTCTTTTATTGTGTCACCTAAGTTTTCTTTAAGTTCATTCACAGTGGATGAATTTCATACTTACTATTATAGTCTTGAATAAAATGATAAAAAAAGGAACACAACAAAGTCGTTCGGGATGTGACAATCGATTATCACTCATACTATTCAACAAACCACGATTGAATTAAGCATACGGTTGGGAATGACAGAATATCAGAATTATGATTCAGCAAAGGACAGCATAACGAGCAATGCCAAATTTTGTCAATTAGGATCAAACATTGTGACAGCTTACGAGCATTTTCTTTTACTTTAAAATCTTTTTTGGTCATCAGTAATTTCTAAATTCTCTTCCATATGTTTTGCTTGTTCTTTTATTGTGGCACCTAAGTTTTCTTTAAGTTCATTCACAATGGATGAATTTCATACTTACTATTATAGTCTTGAATAAAATGATAAAAAAAGGAACACAACAAAGTCGTTCGAGATGTGACAATCGAATATCACTCATACCATTCAACAGACCACAATTGAATTAATGTACGGCTGGGAATGACATAATATCAAAATTATGATTCAGCAAAGAACAACAGAACGAGCAATGCCAAATTTTGTCAATTAGGACCGAACATTGTGACAACTTATGAGTATTTTCAAAGGAGATGTCAAATTTCAAACGTAAATTTAAATTTGACAGCTTATATAACACTTTGACATCTTTTAAAGTTTTGTTCTCCACCTAATATGTCAAATTAAACTATTATTTTATTATAATAAATGTTTTTTTTAACAAACGATATTTAACATTGAAGGGGAGGAGAGTGAGCTTAACCTTCCAATGGGTTAACAATAATGTAGTTCAAATTCGCCTTTGGTGAGAATCGAACCTTAGTACTGTCACATTCCAGGCTCGACTCTACTGTAGCACGATAGCTTTGTGCCCCGACCACGCTCTCACAGTTTTGTTTCTGGGAACTCACACGAGAACTTTCCAGTGGGTCACCTATCCTGGGATTGCTCTTGCGCAAACTCGCTTAACTTCGGAGTTCCGATAGAACCCGAAGCTAGTGAGTTCCCAAAATGCCTCGTGCTAGATAGAGATGAGAATATACATATAAGACATAGAGGATCCTCACCCTTGGGCGATGTGGGATATTACAAGAACTCTCGCTTACAAGTGAAGAGGAATACCACCAGACCGTAGTATTTAGTGGCATTATAATAAATGTTTTAAAACAAAAAACAATTATAATATTAGTAAAATGCATTTAATAATCAATTAATAAAAGATTTGAAGGTGATGTCAATTTTGGCAACAAGAGTGAGGGCTGCCAATTCATGTCATGCCGCTTTAGATTTGGCTTTTCGTTAAAAAACATTGTTGTTAGTTTTTTTATTGTTAATACTGATTTGAACATTTCTTTTAGAGATGCTCTAAGAGTATACGGTAGATTTCAATGGCTGAGCTTTGGTAATTTGTAGTTGGAGTTAATGCCGTTGAGTGGTGCACTTATAAGATTTTCAGGTAATTCAGATTAGGTTGCATCTTTAGTTGAGATTGAGAGCACCCTTTACACGAATTTAATTATGGCATTTTTCCCTTTCTATTGTTGATTTAACTGGAGGCATTTTATTTGAAGATACCTTGGCATAAACAAGATCCTTAAACATATGTGTCGTGCTCTCTTTTTCCTAGTTCGACTTTTTCTGAGATCCACTGCAATGCAATTTTTTTTTTTTAACAAACTATATTATCTACATTAACAGAGAAAGGACGTTAGCTAAGTCTTACAATGGGTTAGCAAGGAAGTGGTACAAATTCCATTTTGAGAGAATTGAACTTAAAACATATCACTTATCGATGACGGAGAATACCATTAAACTGTAGTATTAAGTGACACATTCATATGTTCTATCAAAAGTTTTTTTTTTTTGAAGGCAGAAAAATTGGGTACCAATAGAGGGCACCCAAAAACAGACACAAAGCGCGGGCCTTTCAATTCTTCCCATACAAAAGCCCAAATTCGAGTAACCCAAACTCTGCTGTCACCCTTTCTCCCACTTCTCCCTCGACATTTTTCCATCTCTCTCTGACGCCACCTCTACCAGGTAACACCGCCACTCATCCTCCACTGCACTTGCTGATTTTTCAGTCTCTAGCTATTTTATCGGAATAAGTTCAATTTTTGTTTTTTTTTTTTCTTTTCATATGGTTTCGATCAGTGCATATCCAATTCTCCGAAATGAACCTTTCTGCTTTGATTTGTGCAGCGAAGTTAATAAAACCCATATAATATAAAGCTTCAATTTTGATTTGAGTTCCAGTCTTTGAATTGTTTTCTTTCAATTTGGTAGCTTGGTAGAGCAATTTGCTAAAGTGGGTAGTTCCTGTTCCCCTCAAATTTGCCGAAAGATTTGAAATTTTAGATGATGTTAGGATTCTGGATATGGGATTTGGTGGGTTTTGATTAGTTTGGCATCAATTAGATGGGTTTTGAGCAATGATGGATTGAATGGGCTTTTGCTGGTTTTTGTGTTTAGTTTATCTTTGGGTTATCTGTGAACTAGTTTTTCTTTTAGTACGAAAATAAAATTTAATTGATGGCAAGGGCAGTTTAAATAGGGTTTTAGTAGACAATGGAACTTGTTTTTCATCAAATTCTCCTTGTTATGTAGTTTTTGTAAGTCATCCAAGTTTGAAAGATGAATTCTTCTTTTAATGATTCAGTTCTGTGTTGAAATCAATTCCCGGTGTTAATCTTCCTTTCGTTGTTCTTTGGATTACAGATTCTACTCGTTTTGCAAACTTTTAAATCTTTAATTTGTTGTAATACTTGGTTGTTCTCTTGATTCCGAATATTTTTATTCTGTTAATTTTTTTTTTGTTATCGCTAGGAACAGCACTTAGTTTCTCTAGCAATGGCTTATGAAATTTTTTCATAAATTGCCTTGCATAATTTAATAATCCTGTAAACTTTTTGATTTATAATGTATATCTTGTTGGAAAAAAAAATTCTCTCCATTAAACTTTGAGTTTCTTCTCTTGGTGGTTAATAACAGATAATACAAACTATAGTCAACCAAACAGCTATTACACTTCTGTGCTAATCTACTGCTTTCTTGTTTCTAGGTAGAAATTAATCATTGGTTGGAGAACCCAAGGGGAGGCAACTATGTCGTTCATGAAGGGAGATTTACTTACGAGAACTAGAAAGCTGGTGAAGGGCCTGGCCAAGGCCGAGCCTGTTTGGCTCAAAGCCATGGAAAAGTTTGCCCCTCTCTTTCTCACCATTTTGTAATTCTTGGAATGCCTTTTCGTTTTACTTATTTGTTAAAAACATCATGTATTGTGAATTTTTCAGGGCACCGCCTGTAACGTTTCCTCGTGCAAATGCAATTCAGAAAATCACTCTCCCAGAGGATGTTTACATAAAGAAGTTTTTCCAGAAGCATCCAGATTCCAAACATGAAGATGCCATCAAGTATGGTTTATCTTTGTTTTTTGGTATAATATGAGTTGTTGTCTCGTTACTGTTGTTTGGTCTTGTCATGAGTTTATCCTTGGCTAGTAGATGTGGTTGGTAATTCAGGATTGAACATGTTGCGTGAATCCGAAGACTTAATAACTTCTTATCAGAAAACGCAGGGCTTATTAACTTATCCGTCATGTTTGAATAGGATTTCTTCTTTTGATCCTCCTCCAGCCCGTATATTTGGTTTGCGGGTACTTGTGTTGAAGGAGCAAGGTGTTGCTGAGGAAGAAGCAATGGCAGTAGCTGATGTATGTATTTGGATTTCCTGTCCCTAAATGTGTGCTTTTCTAAGTTGTTTTCTGACTGATGTTTCACGTTGTCTCCTAGATGGAATACCGGATGGAGAGAAAAGAGAAGAAGAAGGCATATTCCCGCTTGAAGAAAATTGCACGCCTTCAAGGGAAGAGGCCTCCTCCCAACCCATATCCCAGCGCTATCAAGGAAATACAAGCTGAGGAGAAGAAGTTTGTTCGTGACCGTTTTTACAATCCCAAAATTATTCAACTTGTAAGGCAATTGCAAGAGGACAAGGCAGCTGAAGCGCAGGAGAGATTCAGAGCAGGAGGAGGTTCCGGGTAACTTAAAGTGCCGTCTTTTGATAATAATTTAGTTCAGTTAGCTTCCTGAGATTTTTACTGATTTGCTCTAGCTTTTGATCAAATATTAGCCTAGTGTATTGGAAATGATTCTTAGGTACTTCTCATTTGCATCCATTTATGGTCAATGAAATGCTATACATTTGTGAAAATCATGGAATATGAATGCTGCATTTTCCGTTTTCCAGTTTGTGTATTTTTATGAACTGCTTATCCTTCCAGACCACTGGTAACGTCTTTCGTAATCCCATACTCAATAATAGATATTTCCAGTGTTCGAAATGTTAGCCACTTGGTTTTAAGATGCGACTAACAACTCTTGGTCCATCGGTACTTCTCTCTAACTATTTTGCAGTATGGCAATTCAATTGTTATAGAGCTTCGGGTTCATTTCTAATAAATCATTAGGCATGAATCATACCATATTTATCGTAGACTTGCATCCAAACTTGTTGAAGATGGTAGAACTTCTATGCTAGTAAATAAGGGGGCAGTGTAGAACATATCAATGGAGAAGAACCATCTAACTGGGACGCCAAGGTGACTGTTTTCCAACCAAATCACGTTAAGCCATGTGAGCAAGTTAAAACACATGACGTCGGGTAATAGGCTTGACATACCACCACCTTGGCGTCTTGGTTCGACTCTCATGGTGAATGGTTAGATATGACAAAGAATCCAGCTAATGAATGTGTTTTGTATGCGTTCCATTAATGTGTGAAGATTGTGCATCAGCATGTCTTTTATCATTTCATAAGCTGATTCACCGTCGGAAACTAGTGCTTTTTTACAAGTGATGATATTACCAATCTAACGTTTTAGATTGTCTTACAAAAGAACATTTCTCCGAGCGATAAAAGATACACTCATAATAACAATTCATTTGAGATTGACTCTGTTTGAAGTAATATTGCTTGTAAGCGATTCAACTAAAAGTTTCTTTGCCAAACATAATTCAAAGCGTTCTAAATTGCTAGAAAGCACTTTACTTCTCACATCCCATTTTACTTCTCACACACTCCCTGATAATTTCTGTTTGTTGATCTTCAATTTATCCGATCTAACGATCTAAAATTAAAAAGATATGTGAGAAGTAAAATGAGATGCATGAATATCACACGATATCAATTCCCACCAAAAAATATAAGCTGATAAATTACACCTTCAATTACAATCAACTTCTACCAGTTCAGATTGATAACATTTTAAACTATCTAACAAAAGAATATTTATTCTAAAAAAAAGAGAAAATATTATCAGCGAGATAATCATAAAAGAGGAGAATAACGATTCATTTGAGGTTGCAAAATACTGCCCATAAGCGACCCAACCAAAAGTTCTTTTACAATAAACAAAGTTTATTAAAAATTGATTCTACAACCCGTAAACGCTTTCAAGGTTTTGTTTTTTTTTTTGCAAACATAGTTTAAAGCGTTTTTAATTGCTAGAAAGCACTTTTAGCAATTTCGGAAGTAGTCTCAAATAGATTGGAAACCAAAAGAGGTATCATTTGCTAGTGCTGAAAATAGTATGTATTGGCAATTGGTGTTAACCTAATGGGTGATTTTCCTCCTAAACAATGAATTTAACAACATTATCACACATAACAAGGGTAATAAACATTTTCTAGGCAACCAAACAAGTCCTAAAATTAATTCCTTGCACGCATTCATAGAAGTTGAAACATATTAGATAAGATAGACCAAAATAAAGGGGAAAAGTATGGCCACCAATAAAAAGCAGAGATGAAATAAACATTTAACAATACTATCGGATTCTCTTTGTGGGATCGGATGATTAATCAATCATATCCGTTTATCATATATTATACGATAAAAAATCACTTTGAATTTTTTATTTAAAATTGAAGACAAAAAGTATATAATGAAAATTAGCCGCATGATATACGATAATTGATCTTCTAGATCTTCACGAAGAGGATCCGGAGAGGATCCTCATTCACTTTAAGGCTTCACCAACTCCAACCAACCCCCTAAATAAAAGTATTAACTTTGCTCGGATTGATGATCTAACTTCCAACAGTATTTAGCTCCCTCTATGCTTCCTACATTTAATTTCTTGGGAGACAATTTTCTTCACTACAAAGTCAAATAGCAAATCTAGATGAGCTGCCAAGGCAATGTGGTTGCTTATTCGAATTCATTTGTTCGTAAATTAGACTAGTTTATGACATTGTCTTGTCAATCTATTATTTAGGCCCTTTACAATGTGTAGAAAAATTGAGTTTGACTCTAATTTAAAGTCAAAAATTTTGAGTTTGATTTCAATCTACTAGCAGATGCTATTTAAGTTAGTTGGTCAGAGTAATGTGCTCATCTACCAAGTTTAAAATTATCTACCATTGATTAAATTCGAGTATTTTTGAATATTGAATTGTAAAAAAAAAAGAGTATTTTTGCTCACCAACACATTTATCACTGTTAAATAAATTTAAATTCAAGATATGTACAGTGAACAGACACAAATTTTAAAATTTAAATAACTATCCATCACCAAAGTTGCACATCATCACACATTAGATTGTAATGTTGGAAGATTTTGCCATACAACAATGTTTGTCATTGTTCAATTCGACTGATTCAATATTCTCTATCGTTCTGTATATCTCTTAACTATGTCTTGTGATTTTGAGCAGAGAGGTTTTAGCAAAAATAATAAAAATCTTTTATACACACTTTGCTTGTGAGGAATTGAATTATATAATAAAGCTGTAAACGCATCAACATCTCCGGTCCCATGGGCATTTTTGGGTGTGGGCAGCAATTTAATGCTCGCTTGATCCTACAGCTAGCTAGCTGCAGGTCAATTATTTTGGCGGTAATGCTTTGAAGACAAAATTTACAAATTAAATGATATGTCACTAATACAAATAAACACGATTATCAATACTTAAGTAGTAAATCAATTATCAACTTCCATGTTTTTAGTTTTCAAAATTTTATCTACAAATTAAGTCCCTTATCATTACCCTTATTTTGGTGACAAATGATATTAATCACTTAGTTAAAAGTCAATAGAAATCAATCATATATACTAAAACCCAGTTCGGGTGGGTACTGTTGATGACCAGTGAGATGACCGCTTTGCCCCTCAGTTTATCCTTGCTTTCCTCCTTTGTGGTCTGCTTCATACAATAAATTTACGGTTTTGCCCTTTTCCATGCGTCTCTTATCTTTGATATGTCCGCTTCGAGTATGAGTAGGGATGGGCGCGGTGCGGTTTGGTGCGGTTTTAAAGGCAAAACCGAAATGAAACCAAACCGTTTGGTTCGGTGCAGTGCGGTTTCAAACGGTTTCGGTTCGGTTTTTGAGAAAAAAATGTACAATTTAAAATATACACTTATTTACGCATAAGACGGTCTTATTTTTCTTATATATTAATTAATGAACATGCAGAAAAAACAGCAACAAGAATGCAGTAAAAACAGCAACAACATTGCAGCAAAACTGCAGCCAAAAACTGCGGAAAAAAAAAACTGCAGCCAAAATTGCTAATTCCTGGTCTTTATCTATGACTCTGCTAATTCCTGAGAAGTGGTCTCTATTTGCGACTCTGCTAATTCAATTACATAACTCAAGCCATGCTTCTGATGAACAAAAATCCTATGAGAGTACCTCTATCGTGACTCTGGGATTTTGTTGCAAGTGTTTTTTATACAGTTATTTGGCTTCATCAATGATCAGAGGCTTTTCTTATAATAAATACCAAATTTGTTGAACTCCAATTTTCATGATACATTAGTGGTTTTTGTTACATTTAGGCAAGCACACAAGGCAATGCCTAAAGAAATTAATAATTTAGAACTTAAATTGATACTTTAAGAGATGAACATGAGTTTTGAGAGAGAGATGAAGATGAGTTTTGAGAGACAGAGAAAGATAAATGAATATAATGACTTGAATAGTGTAGTTGAAGTTGAACTAATTAAAAGTTAAAACATAACATTCAAAATATATGGTGCGGTTTCGGTTTTGGTATGGTACGGTTTTGAAAATCTAAAACCGAAACTAAACCGTTTTCTTTGTTGCGGTTTGGTTTCGAAACCGCAACCGTTTTAAAATCGCAAAATCAAACTGTTCGGTGCGGTCCGATTTAATTTGTGTTTCGATTTCGGTTTTCGGTTCCAAATGCCCACTCCTAAATGTACGAGAGTTTTCTATTTCGTTTAAACCTTTATTTCTTCTGCTCATTCTCTGATCCGTGCCTTATTCTCACTGTTTTTCTTTGATATTGTGGTGTTTTGAACCCAAAATTTTTCGTATTTTAAGTGATATACTACGAGGAAGACATCCTCCAAACCCTCTACATAAGCATCGAGGTAAATCCCGCTTCTGCTCTGCTGCACAAATTATTTGTTATTTTCCGTAATATATTTGATTTCTAGAACTGTAATTTCAGATTATTGCCCCTTTCGATTTTTGTCAGTTTGGACCAAACCCTAACCGTTTGGTTTTGTGATCAGTAGCACTCTTTGTTATCTCACTTCATAAATCTCGGATTTGGCAGGAATTGGAACGGCGCTGTTATTTTTTGGGTGTGTTATCTCTGCTTCTGTTTATCCCAATTTTAATATGTATTTGCAATTGTTGGATTAAAAAGGGTTTGTGATTTGTGAAAAAAGATGAGTCAAGCGACTCCAATTTTTGAAAGTTATCTGGTTTTGGTTTGTATCGAAAACAGGGAACACTGAGAGGGAGATGATGACATAAAGTATTAAGTTTAATTGTGATTTAAATTTTTTTATGTTGTTAGCGGATGAATCCATCTGTTGGTTGAAGTGATAGGTGTAAAAAAATGAATATGCCAAGGTGTAAATAGTTGGAGGTTTATGGTATTTTGCAGGTTTTCTGTTGGTTCATGGTTTTGGTAGTTTTGATTTCGTGAGAGGCATAGAGAGTATACACTGAGACAAATAGGTGGGAAGACAGAACAAGGGAAGGGGAAAATGAGAGAGACACGGGTTGGGCCATTTTTTTTTTATAATTGATTTGGGGTTTTGTTTGGGTTTGGGGTTGTGATGTTTCTGTATTTAATTTGGTATTTCATAGTTTGGGGTTGAGTCGTTATTTTTTTGGACTTTATGATCTCATTTGTGATTATCAAGTGCATAATGGTTAATTGTAATTTTCAAATTTTTATGCTATTAGTAGTTAAAACTAGGGGAATGGCTCCAATTTTGTTAGTCAATTAATTTATTTTTTTGTGTATCTCAAGCTTCTAATTGATTTCCTGCATCATTGCTTAGTTTTATTCACTGAGATTTGAGTGGTTAATTTTTTTTACCTTATGACCTCATTTGTGATTATCAAGTACATAATGGTTAATTGTAATTTTCAATTCTTTATGTTGTTAATGGTTAAAATTAGGGGAATAGCTCCAATTTTGTTGGTCAATTAATTTAATTTAATTTTTGATATATCTCAAGCTTCTAATTGATTTCCTGCATCATTGCTTAGTTTTATTCACTGAGATTTGAGTGGCTAATTTGGATCAAACTCTAATGATTTTCCTTTTCAACAGTTGTGGTCCTCTGTTAGGATTTTCCTGGAAAAGAGTATATTTTCCGTTTTGGTTGCTCAGTTGCTCAATCACAAATTTGCAAATAGCTCTGGTGGTGCTATTATTTTTGGGTATGTTTTCTGTCATTTTTTCCCCTGTTTGATCATGCATTTATGAATGTTGGATTAAAATGTGTTTATTTTTGGGAAGAAATGAGACGGCTAGTTAGAGTTTTAGAAACCTTTGTCTTTCTTGCTTTTTATGGCAATGAGAAGAAGGAAGAAAACATTGATCTTAATTGTAATTTTCAGTTCTTTACACTGTTAGTGCTGAAACCTCTGTTTTGTAGACAAATAGCTGACATGTGAACATTTGCAAATCCATGTTATTTTCTAAGTTGTTTTTTATTTTCCAATGTATTTTTTTCTTCATATGAACCTGGATGAAATGATTGTTGGTGGTTTTTAACCAGATGCTTTGTTTCAAAATGATTAATCCTATTAAGAATAAATAATTGCTTGGGGTATAAAATGTGTATTGTTGATGCTTTGGTCAATCTGACCATAAAAATAGAGTGCATTTTGGTTTCTTTGACTCTTTTGTTTGCTTTGTTTGTTGTTTGGACCTAAGCTTAAAATACTTACACAATACTTGACAAGAAAAATAATATTTAGGATTAGGTTAGTGTTTATGCAATGATAACCATAGACAATTAATTCTCTGGTGACTTATTTCATGCTTTAGTTTGGAAACTCTTGTTTTTGTCATATATAGAATACTAGCACGGCGTGCAAATGCGTTATCGATTGACTTCTAAATGGTGGTTAATTTAGTTTATAAATTTGTAATGCATGTGTTCTCTAACCTTGAGCGACTGTACATGAGGACATAAGACGTCTTTTGGGTGAGAAATCTGCTTCCTTGATATGGGCAGCGAGTCAGTTTGGTTCGACTCTTGATCCGGAGCAGAGACTAACTGTTCTTCACATCCAAGCTCGTCTTGTGATAGGGTCCTTAGGTCTGTACAGAATCTGAACATAGAAAAGCACCCTAGGCATTTTGTTTTGTTTTTCTCTGTACTTGAATGAAATACAATCAGTAATATGTAAGAGAATGGTCGGCTTCAATGAAATGTTTGCCTTGACATTTTGTGCAGTATAATTTCAAAATCATACAACATTCTACGGACTAACGTGACGGTAGGTAAAACTCCTCATGCGAGTCTGGAAGCCCTCGCATTGACAATAATCACACAATGAATGAACAGTCACAAGTGAATAAAACGCAAGAAACCGTTGTCGCTAAAAGACCAAATATCAATAATAATGTTCCAATAGTATTGCATTAACAACACTTTAGCATAATTTCTATGCAAATACATTTAAGTCAGTCAATTATTGTGTGAATAAATCTGTAAAGACCGAGTAGAATAAAGTCGGTCAATTATTGAAGTATCACATGGAGTGTCGCATGGGGTCCAAGTCAAGACAATAGTTTCACTTGCATCGTGGAAATTTTGGTTTGTAAGTCCCTATTGTTCTTAATTTGTAATTTATTTTGAAGCGTGATTAAGATAAATGACAAACGAAAGTGGAGAAGAATCATTATTTTATGGGAGTCATTCATCCTTCCTCTTATCCTCCAAAACGACTTTTGACTGTTTGCAACTTGTTTGAAAAGAAAAAAAGTGATGATTCTTCATTAACAACACTTTAGCATAATTTCTATGCACATACATTTAAGTCGGCCAATTATTGTGTGAACAAATTTGTAAAGACCCGAGTCGCGGTAGAATATAGTCAGTCAATTATTGAAGTATAGCATGGAGTGTCGCATGGGGTCCAAGTCAAGACAATAGTTCCACTTGCATCGTGGAAATTTTGGTTTGCAGGTTCCTTCTCAACTTGTAATTTACTATGAAGCGTGATTAAGATAAATGACAAATGAAAGTGGAGAAGAATCATCTATTTTGTGGGAGTCATTTATCCTTTCTCTTATCCTCCAAAACGACTTTTGACTGTTTGCAACTTGTTTGGAAAAAAAAAAAATGTGAATTTGTCTCTCAAAAGTTGAGGCCTTTTTTTGCGTATTTTAGCCTGATCTAAATAACATAAATTATGCATTCTGACTATTTGCAACTTGTTTGAAATTAAATGTAAATTTGTTCTCTCAAAAGTTAAGATGGTGTCTGTGCTTTTTAGCTTGGTTCAAATAACATGAATTACGCGCATATACGTTGTTTTCTAATTTCACAAAAAACAAAAAAACTTCTAAAACGTAAACAGAACGAACAATCAACGCGGAATTGTGTTGATTGTTGCAGGCTTTGCCATTGTTTTGGAGAGACGAGTCATCCTCTAATTACTACACCTACCTACAGAAAAGTAGCTGGTCCACTCACACATGTTAATTACTACACCTACCTACCTACAGACGAGTCATCCACCTATCTACCTACGGACGAGTCATCCTTATAATACACTCGCAGCTTTCCTTTTGCTCCTAAATCAATTCTGATTGTACACTTCTTCTTCTTCTTCAATCTTCAATCGTCTTTGCCTTGATTTTGTTGAATTAAGATGGAGAACGACGGAACGGCGCTTGAAGAAACTCTTTCATACTTCCATTGTGGTGCTACTTTTTCTACAATGTTTCAACCCTTCCCTATCCTCTGGATTCAATCATGTTTCTTTCGGTTTCGGAGCAATTGCCCACCGGGTGGTGACGAGGTGCATAGAGAGTGAAAGGGAAACACTCCTTTCTTTCAAACAAGGTCTGATTGATGACTACAATCTCCTCTCCTCGTGGGGAAGAGAAGAACACAAGCAAGATTGTTGCAAATGGGTAGGCGTCCACTGCAGCAACCGAACCAACCATGTTACTCAACTTCATCTTGGATGGTCTTCTATGCGTCAAGCTTACTCACTTCAACACAAAGGTCACCTGGAAGATACCGAATATTATTTACAAGGTAAGATGATGAGTCCTAAACTGATTGAGTTGCAGCATTTGAAATATTTGGACCTTTCGTTGATTAACTTCAATGGAAGCCAAATTCCAGATTTCATTGGTTTTCTTTCCAACTTAAGACACCTCGATCTCTTTGTTGCTTATTTTGGTGGTCGAATTCCAACTCAGATTGGAAACCTTACTCACTTGCAATATCTTAATCTCAGCTACAATAACTTTGCTAATGTAGAAAATCTGAATTCATGGCTGCCTCATCTTTCTGCTTTAACATATTTGGACCTGACATACAACAATCTCAGTAATGTTCCTGACTGGATGGAAGCAGTTAATAAACTCCCTAAACTTACAAACTTGTCTCTGTCTTATTGCAGTCTTCCTTCTCGTCTAATTCATTCCAGTACTCTTTTTAACATAAATTCTTCTAAATCTCTTGCTCATGTTAATCTCAGATCCAACCAACTCTCATTTTCTTCATCTTCTTCCATATTTGTGTGGTTATCCAAATACAATGCCGGCCTTGTTCATCTTGACCTCTCTGAAAACCAAATTGAAGGAGGGATTCCGCAATCTTTTTCCGGGTTATGTAATCAGCAAGAATTGTACCTTTACAATAACACTTTGAGTGGACAGTTTTCCTGGTTGGTTCAAATATTAATGTCTGCATGCCCTGATCAGAACTCATTAGAGACTCTGTCCCTCTCAAAGAATCATCTTTCTGGATCAATTCCTAATCTCACAAACTTTTCATCATTGAAAGAATTATCTCTCGATGACAATCAATTGAGTGGAACAATACTTGAAAGCATTGGGCATATGTCCACGCTTGAGGCTATCTACCTTGGTATGAATGCTTTGGAAGGTGTGGTTTCGAAAAGCCACTTCTCCAACCTCTCCAGATTAAGGAGTTTGGATATGTTCAATACCTCACTATCTTTAAGCTTCAGTTCTAATTGGTCTCATCCTTTCCAATTAGAGTATATAAAATTATGGTCTTGTAAGGAGGGTCCACATTTTCCAAAATAGCTTCAAAATCAGAAAAGTTATAAGAGACTTGATATTTCTAATGCCAGAATTTCTGATATCCTTCAAAGTTGGTTTTGGAGCCTTCTGTCTCATCAGGATCTTAGATCTATTTCTATAGATTTTTCCCACAACCGAATTAGAGGAACAATTCCAAATTCAAGATTTGAGTTTTCCTCATCTTCCTTTAGTCTAGTGAATTTGAGTTAGAACTAATTGGAAAGTCCAGTCCCTTCATTCATTTCCACATCGATATCTTTAGATCTCTCCAACAATAAGTTTTTAGGGTTAATTTCTTTCATGTGTCCAAGGACTTCGAACAAGGTTAGTCATATAGCCTTTCTTGATCTCTCAAGCAACAATTTGTACGAACAACTTCCTAATTGTTGGACACGTTTTGAAAATCTTGCCTTTCTTGATTTGAGTGATAATGCTCTTTTTGGAAAAATTCCTACCACAATGAGCTCTTTACCTTCTATTCAAACACTAAAGTTAAACAAGAATAGGTTTGTGGGGAATTGACTTTATCCTTGAAGAACTTTACCACACTCAGTGTTTTTAATGCTAGAGAAAATAACTTATCAAGTTTGATACCTGAATGATTAGGGGTTGAACTTCCAAATTTGGCTATCCTTATCCTCCGTTCTAATCACTTCTATGGAAGCATTCCACCACAATTGTGTAAACCCAACCCCTAACCATTCAGGTATCAAACCTGATAAGTTATTTTCTCCAACATCAAAAACACTGAGTGTGGTAAAGTTTTTCAAAGATGAAGGCAATTCCCCCACAAACCCATTCTTGTTTAACTTCAGCGTTTGAATAGAAGGTAAATAGTCCGTTGTGGTAGGAATTTTCCCAAAAAGAGCATTATCACTCAAATCAAGAAAGCCAAGATTTTCAAAACGTGTCCAACAATTAGGAAGTTGTTTGTACAAATTGTTGCTTGAGAGATCAAGAAAGGCTAAATGACTAACCTTGTTCAGAGTCTTTGGACACATGAAAGAAACTAACCCTGAAAGCTTATTGTTGGAGAGATCTAGGGCTATTGCTATGGAAAGGAATGAAGGGACTAGACTTTCCAATCGGTTCCATCTCAAATTCACTAGACTAAAGGAAGATGAGGGAAACTCAAATCTTGAATTTGGAATTGTTCCTCTAATTCGGTTGTTGGAAAGATCTATAGAAATAGATCTAGGATCCTGATGAGATAGAAGACTCCAAAACCAACTTAGAAGGATATCAGAAATTCCTGCATTAGAAATATCAAGGCTCTTATAACTTTTCTGATTTTGAAGCCATTTTGAAAAATGTGGACCCACCTTACAAGACCTCAATTTTATATACTCTAATTGGAAAGGATGAGTCCAATTAGAACTGAAGCTTAAAGATAGTGAGGTATTAGACATATCCAAACTTCTTAATCTGGAGAGATTGGAGAAGTGGCTTTTCGAAACCACACCTTCCAAAGCATTCATACCAAGGTAGATAGCCTCGAGCGTGGACATATGCCCAATGCTCAACAATTTGGCTAAAAAAGTAAGTTCAAGTATAGCATCCTTGATATGGAAAGGCATTCTATCCAAATACAGAAGTACTATGGGGCTTGTAAGTGTATTCATCTGTCAAGTAATCGATTAATAGGGGAGATTCCTAGGGAAATCACTGATCTTGTGAGGTTGGTTTCTTTAAACCTGTCAAGAAACAATTTAACATGTCAAATAACTCCAACGATCAGGAAGTTGGAGTCCTTAGAGTCCCTTGATTTGTCAAGAAACCACATATATGGTGGAATACCAACAAGCCTTTTTCAAATATATGGTCTTGGTGATTTGGACTTGTCAAACAACAACTACAACAACAACAAAGCATTTTCCCACTAAGTGGGACTCGGCTCCAAAGCCTTTTCAAACAACAACTAGTTTGGAAAATTCCAATTGGGACTCGGCTCCAAACCTATGATCCATCTGATTTTGCTGGAAATACTCTACTTTGTGGAATTCCACTTCAACAGTTGTGCTGTCCTGAGGAAACAAGTCCAGAGGAGCAACCAATGTTTGGGGATCAAGTTAAAGATAATGATGGGCTTATAACAACATGATTTTACTTGAGTTTGGCGCTTGGTTTTGTTGTTGGATTTTTGGGAGTTTGTGGGAGTTTGATATTCATCAGGTCATGGAGATACACATGCTACAAGTTCTTGAATTGTGTGTACGATTGGCTTTTTGTGAGGGTGGCGTTGATCAGGTGACGAAGAATGATTGATGGGTAAAATGTAAGTACTCTTGCACATAATGAATAATATTATTGCAGTTTTGAGTCTATTAAATTATGACTAATATATGTTGCGTTTGTTTTAATCTTTTTAGCTCGTTCATCTACCGTTGGCAAGCACTGCTCCCTTTAAACTAGAGAAGAAGGAGATTGAAGAGTGCAATTTGAAGTTATAATTTAGTGAAAGTGTTGTGTTTAATTTAGTGGCCTTTTTGAGGCTATTTACAGTGACCGTATTCTTTATGCCGACACCAAACTTTAAGTTCATGTGGAAATCTATTTATACGTTGAATAACACACTAATCTGTAAATATTTTTTTACAGATAGTGTGCAAATTTCTTTCTTTCAGACTGTGTATGCTTATGACGTGATAAACATATTAGAAGTTTGCGATTTAATATGTTACTCCCAAATGTGATTGTTATTCTGTGAATTCGCTAAAATTTAAGGTTGTGTGTATTGTTGTTTTTAAAACCCTTTGCTTAGTAATACATAATTGAATATGAGCTCTTCCATTTGATAATATCTTAAACTGCTTAAGATATACATCATAAGCAACCATGCTTACAAATTTCAGCACTCTTAGAAACAACATACACTAATCTACAACGGTTTCTAATCTTACTCAAGGCTTCAAATACACTCGTGTGTCACATGATTTGAAACGTGCAATTTAATTACAATGTATTTGGATTGCACATTTCAAATCTTGTGACACACAAGTGTGAGTGTTTTAGATTGATGAATTTTAGTCATCTAACGAGATATAAACTTGTTTCGTTCCAAGTGAGTAATTAAGCAAAAATAGTACTCATGTGACCAGCAGGCAGCAAGGATGTGAGGCATCTGATATACATGCAATGGCTAAAGTTACTTACAAAACTAAACGAAACGTCGTCGTCTGTTAGCTGTGTTTGGGCCAAAAGCGTGGTCGTTTTGATCAGAACATTTCCGGGGCAAAAAGCAGAAGAGAAAGATTGAAATTCTAAAAAGAGAGAGTAAAAGACTGGGGCGAGGTCACGCTCCAGACCGCCGTCCACCGCCGTAGGCGATCCGGCCAACTTGTTGACCTGCAGAGATTCTATAGCGAGGTCACGCTCGCGTTCTGGAGCGGCCTCCGCGACCTTCCGCCGAGTTCTCGTTCCTCCGCGTCCGCGGCCTCCTCAATTTCCTCCGATCCGTCGCCGAGTCCGATTCCACCGTCAACCTCTTCTCTCAAACGCAATTGCTCCCCGAGCTTCAAGGTAACCAGAAAATTACAAAATTCCTAGTACATGGCGAGGAGGTTTGGGGAGAGAACGTGGTGGCTGCCTCAGTGAGTCACGTGGTTGCCGAAGTGACAAGGTTGTTGAAGGTTCAGCGCGGGAAAGTTTGGTTGATTGGTGCAACGGCTAGCTATGGAAGTTACTTGAAGTTTGTGGGGAGGTTTCCATCTGTTGAAAAAAAAAAAAAAACTGGGACTTGCAGCTTCTGCCCATCACTTCTCTCAGAGCTGCTTCCATGGCTGAATCATATCCCAGGTCCAGCTTGATGGAGTCGTTTGTTCCATTTGGTGGATTCTTTTCAGCACCTTCTGACCTAAAGCTCCCACTCGCTGGGCTCTGCGGTATTTGTATGGAAAGTTTAGTTGATTGGTGTAACGGCTAGCTATGGAAGTTACTTGAAGTTTGTGGGAAGGTTTCCATCTGTGGAAAAAAAACTGGGACTTGCAGCTTCTGCCCATCACTTCTCTCAGAGCTGCTTCCATGGCTGAATCATATCCCAGGTCCAGCTTGATGGAGTCGTTTGTTCCATTTGGTGGATTCTTTTCAGCACCTTCTGACCTAAAACTCCCACTCGCTGGGCTCTGCGGTATTTGTATGGTAGCCGATGCAGCGGGAGTGGAGCATCATCGTTGGGCAGAGGAGAAGAAAACTGGAGACGATGGAGACTGCCTGGCCATCATAGTAACTCGCTGCTGCTGACCAATCACGAACCTTTGTTGGTTGTCTAAAGAACTTGACGTTTGACTGTCTCAATGCTGACTTTTGAAGTTTCTGATTTTGTATTATGGAAATCGTAATAAGAGCATACGTAGGTTACAAATATATATGGGAGTTTGAGTGAGTTGCAAACTACACTCAACACTCAAGTTATCTATCCCAAATCTCCTTGAATCATGCTAAACAGCCGGCATAGGTAACATAACTAAGCTCCTTGGATTAAGGAGTTGACAACAAGATAAGACCCTTATACAAGTTGATGAGAACAAGAAAATAAATGGCTATTAACTAGGTAAAACACTAATAAGGTTGACACAAACCCTATTACCCAGATAATACTGAGAAACACTAATCATGAGGAACCTTAAGTAACCAGAGGTCTTTCAATACTCCCCCTTAAGCTGGATCCAGAAGTTTGATGGATCCAAGCTTGCTGAGAAGCTTTTGAAACTGATGGGAGGCTAATGGTTTGGTGAATAAGTCTGCAAGTTGATTGTAGCTCCTGCCAAAATGAGTTTTGATGACCTGTGATTGTACTTGTGCACGAACATAGTGACAATCAACTTCAATGTGCTTGGTTCTCTCGTGGAAGACGGGGTTGGAAGCAATGTGCATTGCTGCCTGGTTGTCACAGAAAAAGGGACATGGAGTGAGGAGTGAAGACATCTAAGTTACATAGTAGACCTTTCAGCCATATTAGTTCACACGCAATAGATTCCATGACTCAATATTCAGCCACATCACTTGATCTTACAACGACTGCTTGCTTTTTACTTTTCCATGTAACAAGGTTGCCTCCCACAAACGTGCAATACCCCATTGTAGACTTACGATCAATAGAGTTGGCAACCCAATTAGCATCAAATAACCTGTGATCTAAGTGCTCTCATTCTTCTTCATGATTATGCCACGACCCACTGAACCTTTTAGGTACCGAAGTATTCTTTTGACAAGATTAAAATGCTCTATCGTGGGAGAGTGCATAAATTGGCTAGCAATGCTTACTGAATAGGCTATGTGAGACCTTGTAATAGTCAAATATATCAACTTACCAACAAGTCGTTGATAATAGCTTATGTTTAGAAGTGGTTGCCTCTTCAAGCTGAGTTTGAGCTTGATGTCAAGAGGTGTATGGACATGTTTAGCATCACTCATGTTTGCTTCCTTGAGAAGATCCATGACATATTTCCGCTGGTTGAGAAAGAAACCCTTGTGAGAGGTTGCCATTTCTATTCCAAGACAATATCTCAGTATTCCAAGATCTTTGATTGCAAAACGTTGTTGTAGTGAATGCTTGAGCTTCTTTATTTCTTCAGGGTTGTCTCCTGTAATGATCAAATCATCTACATATACAAGGACTACCAATTTCCCAGCAGTTCTTGTGCACACGAACAATGAGGAGTTTGCGTTGCTTCTTTTAAAACCAACACTTGTAAGGACTAAACTGAGCTTGGCATACCAAGCTCTCGGTGACTGTTTAAGACCGTAAATTGATTTGTGCAATTTACACACAACATCATGTTCATGACTTTGAGGATGACTTGGGGGTAATCTCATGTAGACTTCTTCTTCAAGATCACCATGTAAAAAGGCGTTCTTTACATCTATTTGATACATAGGCCACCCTTTGTTAACAACAACTGAAATGAGTACTCTCACTGAGTTCATCTTTGCAACAGGAGAAAAGGTTTCCTTGTAGTCCACATCAAATGTTTGAGTAAATCCATGAGCCACTAATCTTGCCTTGTGTCTTTCTATGGACCCGTCTGAGTTGAATTTAACCTTGTATATCCATTTACAACCTACTGTCTTATTTCCTTTGGGTAGTGTCACAATGCTCCAGGTTTTATGTTGATCAAGGGTATGCAGTTCATCTTGCATAACTTGCTGCCAAACCTGTGATTGATTTGCTTCTTGAAATGACTGAGGCTCAACATGCTCAGATACATTACAAACAAAAGCAGTGTATTTAGATGACAATTTTTGATAGGACACATAGTTGGACAGTGGATGCCTTGGCTTGTAAGTGACAAAGTCTTGCAGTCTTGTTGGATGATGTCTTTCACGAATGGGATTTCGTTGAGGCGCAGCAGAATGAGACTCGTATGAAGATTCCTCAGGTGCAACATTATGGAGAGATTCATCTTCAACAGAAGTGTTGGTGTCATCACTTGAATCTGGTTGGTCAGTTGCAGCGCGGGACTTTGTGTGATGTGCAGACACCATTGCATTAGATTGAGTGACTTCAGTGGCAAGTATCTCAGTCCATGGCAATGGAAAAAGGTCCAAGAAACACTTCCCATGACTTATACTATCCAGAGATTTGCTGTAATAAGGGTTAGTTTCATGAAATCTAACATCCTTGGAAACAATTAATCTCTTAAGTTGTGGATTGTAACATTTGTATCCTTTTTGTGTGGATGAGTAACCAAGGAAAATACATTTGGTTGCCCTAGGATCTAGTTTGTCTCGATGCAAGGGCTGAACATGGACAAAACAAATGCATCCAAAGACCTTAAGGCGTTGCAAGTCCACTTTTCTATTTTTGACCATTTCCATTGGTGATTTGAACCCCAAAACCCTGCTAGGTAACATGTTGATCAAGTAAGCTGCTGCCACAACACTTTGAGACCAAAATCATTTTGGTACATTCATTTGGAACATCAAGGCCCTAGTTTTTTTAAGAAGATCTCGATTTTTTCTCTCAACAATACCATTTTGTTGGGGTGTGCCAACACAAGCATGATGCCATTGTTGCTCAAATATTGAGTCATGACTTGGGACATCTATTCGGTGCCATTATCAGACCTTAGAGTTTTGATTTGAGAGGAAAAATGATTTTTAACAAGGTTATGAAAGTCCTTAAACACTTCCATCACTTCACTCTTTGATTTTAACAAATATAACCAAGTGGCTCTTGAATAATCATCAACAAAGGTTATGAAATATTTGTAACCATCAAAAGATTCACTAGTTGGTCCCCATATATCAGAGTGTACAAGTTTAAAAAGATGAAAAGCTCTAGACAAAGATGAACCTTGAGCTAGTCTAGTTGCCTTTGACATATGGCAAGTTTCACAGTGAATTTGTTCTTTGCTTAGGTCGGGAAACAAGGTTGACAAAACATGTTGAGAAAGGTGAGCTAGTCGCTGGTGCCACAAGGAATGATCTTGATGGAGGCATGGATGAACTTAGACTTGGCTTGGAATCCATTGGGAGAGCTTTTCGATATGTAATAGAGACCGTCTAGGTAAAACCCCTCACCAATCGTCCTCTTGGTGACACAATTCTGAAAAATGACATTTTCTGGTGAAGAAATGGCTAAATAGTTTAAGGAATTTGTGATTTTTCCCACTGAGATAAGTTGGAATGGAAATGAAGGAACATATAAGGCCATAGACTCTATTTGGTCTGATATCAAGTGAATTTTTCCCTTTCCTACAATCCTAGCACCTTCACCATTAGCTACAGACATATGTGATGGTTTATGAA